TAGACTAGAAGAGATATCTCATTATCTTTCTCCTCCCTCCCTCCCTCTTTATTTCTTTTTCTGTCCCTTCCTTCCATCCCCCCCTCTTTCTTTGTCCCTTTTTCTTTCTTTCCCTTTTCTCTTTATTTTCTTCCTCTCTTCCTCTTTCTTTTCTCTCTCTCTTTCCCTCTCTCAGGCTCATCCCTTTGGATCAGGGGTCGCCAAACTTTTGGACCTCAGAGACCACCAAACTCATAATTTTAAATCCCGGAGACCACTAATATGAATTTTGACTGACGGTGGCTTTCTGGCGTTGGTGGGAGAGAGAGAGAGAGAGAGATCTGATCCAACCCCTCTCTCTCCCTCTCTCTCACACACACAGGCAGAGGTGGGATTTAGACCCTTGATCTAAAGCTGTCAAAACTCCAAAAACTGGTCAAGTAGCTCTGGCGAGGCCAGTCATAAATTAGAACACTTGCTAAACAACCGCTCATCAAGTGAGGACCACTTGTATTTGATTTCCAGTCACTGGCCACAGCCACCCAGTCACATGACCAGCAAGCCACACCCTCCCAGTCATGTGAACAGCAAACCACACCCTCAAATTAGGCCACACCCACAGAAATTTGAATCCCACCCCTGGGTGGGGGGCACTGAGGATGAGTTTGTAGCACCAAGGGGGCAGTGGACCGAAAAAGTTTGGGAACCACTGAATTAAATTAAATGGAACACAGACTTCTGTGAAGAAGCTCCCAGAATTGGTTTTTTTTTTTTTTTGCCATGCCCTTGAGTGCACCTGGGAGTGTCAAAAGATCAGAGGGTGTTGGCTGACCAAACCCATCATGGAAGATGTTATCTGAAGGCAGATCTCCCATAGAAATTCTTTTGTGAATGAATTGTTGTCAGAACTGTAATAGTGTCCATGGTCCAAAAATATTGCACACCCTGGTCTGAGTGCTCTTAGTTACATAACACATTCTCCCAACAGATCCTTCATCTTTTTTCTCATCTTGATTGTGCTGTTGTTCTACTGTTAATCTATTTGCCGTTTCCATCAAGCACACTAAGCAGTTTTAATGTGTTTGTCATTTTAAAGTCTATCAAAATAAACTTAGATGCAGGTTACATAAACAGTAAGAATATAATAAGAACCCTCCTGGATCTGATCAAAGGTCCAGCATCCTGTTTTTCAAAGTAGTTGGAAAGACTGCAAGGACCATTTGAAGATATTTTTTCTCTTCTGCCACTGCCCTGCTGTACAAAGTATTTAGCAACATATGTCTTATAAACTTGTAACATTCCTAAAGCCTTACATTAACATGGTTTTACTTCATTGATATATTTAACTCCCTTTTAAATCCATTGAAGTTACTTGGTAGTAAATTCTGTAAGTGAATTATGTGTTATTTTTTTAAAAAAAAAACTACTTTCTTTTCTGTGTCTTGAAAATTTTGCCAGTTTTATTGGGTAAATAACTGGCTAGCTTCCATAATTTAATGTATTTATAGACATCTTGTGTTTTGTGTTTATATTTTTAGAAGTGTATTGCTCAGTTTTATTAGTTTTTGTTGTTTGTTATATTATTGCTTTACCTTAGTATTGCCAGAATTTGTTCTCTTGAGAATAAGAGCTCCACGTTTCAAATAGATCTTTGCTTTTTATAGCTTTTCTGATTCTGCTAATTAACCATGATGGTGTCTGTTGGACTTAGTCATATATTTTCTAACTTAGAATGTATTTTCTAGCTGAGTGTCTGCTAGTATGGTCTTGGTTTCATTCAAATGCTTTGAAAAAAATGGAACCCTTTGACCCTTTCCCTTTAACTAGTTCCCCCATGCCTTGGAAATTTAATTAAATGAAATTAAATGTGTCTGCATTTGAGAATTTTTCCTCTTAATATGCATCCAACAGTCTAACATTGCTTGCATTCCAGGTCAAGTGCAGGATACCACCTCAATTGTCATATGTCACCTTGCCCTTTTTAGTTCCCATGACTACCTATTCTGGGCTCAGCCTTTTATTATACGTTTGCGATACAACTCAAACATTCACTTACCCAGCCATCATAAGGTTAATTGATGTTCTATTCATCTTTATATGATGGGGTTTTTTTCCCTGACGTAGTTCAGATTGCAGAAGAAGCCACAAGAAAACATGGGTATGTTATTGTTATTCAAATATTTCAGCACTTTGGTTCACTATTTCAGCAGATCAGCATTTGTAATTAAGATGTCTATGTAAACAATCTGTGAAGGACAATACTCTATTTAACAATACCCACTCCCAGTCCAGATTTCAGAAGGGATAGTAAAGACACACAAAGCTTTAGCATCTGGACTACAGCTGGGACAAATAACATGTACCCAGTTTTAAATGTGCATCTAAGCCACCACATGAAAATATCCCACACCTAGGTATGGGTGTGTGTGTGCCTTTTTTCCTGTTGCCTGTCACTGAAGAAAAGGGTAATTCCTGCATAATAAAATGTAAGGATAGAGAGAAAGTGGTTTGAGCAATGGTGATGAGACTGCAAAAGATTGCAGAAAACCTATCTTAAATGCAGTTGCCCTTATTAACATCTGAAACGTTCCTTTTGTGAAACCAAAGTTAATTAACAGAAACACAAAATACACAGTTTTGGTTGCTATTAAGTCTAATAATATTTCTTTACTGAAGAATTGGGTGGATTTTTTTGTCATTTTCTACTCACAGTTAGTTATTTCTGAGCTGAAACAAAACAAAACTGCCCAGATGGTACACTCTGGGGGTGTATTTATCCCTGCATACCCATGGATCCTGTTTTAGATTACTGTAATCTAATCCTTTTAGCCATGTACTGTTGTTGTTAGGGTGACTTTCTTCAGAAAAGGCCCAGAAAGTTGGTTTGGTTATCTGAATAAAACTGACCAAATTTATTTATTTATTTGGCTTTACGTAGCTAAAAGAAAAAGATAATGCCTCTTAATATTTCTTAAGGAAACTTCTATAGGCTACAAAATCAGTCCCAAACAATCTTTATGGCCATTATAAAAGTGCTGAATTGTTTATCATTTATTAGTAGCCAGATTAATTTCTTCTAGAATTTATTTACCTAATAACTAGATTATAAATCCAAAGAAATTTATAGGACAGCTATCCGATGTTGTAACTACCTATATTCCAAAACATTCTCTGTGCAAATTTGGACTAGAGGAAATGGGCAAGACTGGTGAAGGGAGTCAACTCTAGTTATCCTTGTTACATTAAAACTAGAACTAGCAGTTGTATTAAGTTTTAGCAATGTCCTGTCTCAGTGAATTTATTTTACTTACATATTATGGGTAGAATTCAAGAACCTTTTACTCTTTGAGAATGTGATCTATTAATGGCAGTATATGTGGTTGCATGCAAAAAAATTCTACTTTCATTCTTGCATCTTCAAACCCTGACAATATTGGCAAAACTGCATTAAACTTATTAACTTTGAGTTAAATGAACAATTGGTAAGATGGATTTTGAAAAACCAAGCAGAGATAGAGAAAGGATGCAGCATTCAACCCTAAAATTTATTTTTCATGGTATAAAATAGCTGGAGCACTTAGTCTTTCCTGAAAAACTGGAAGATATTCTGCAAACCTACCTCACCCCTCCCCTTGTCTTTAAGAGACTGAAAATAATTGCAAACAACTTTAATATGTTCACTGTCTTGTCAGAATTTATATACAGACCATAATAGTAAAGTATTTATTTAAACTACCATAATTATGATTCACGTTTGAAAATGTTGCCAATCCAATTTGCAAAATAGTTTCTCATAAACCAAGATTCAAGAAAAGTTTATTTAGAATTTGGATCCATTCAGTACTTCTATCCAACAAGTAATTTTTCCTGAATAAGAGGGGCTATTACATTGAAAGAATTGAGGATGGGCAAAGAATTATTGGAAGTCCTTAAATGTACTGGCTCCTAATATGCTTTATACATAATTAAAGATGCTGGTTATTGCTTCCAAAGGCCGTCATGGACCAGGACTGTATTGTTTGCAGGTCTGCATGAGTATTTCTGCCCATTCCACATGGTCACATGGGATGGGCATATTCCAGGCTCAATTTTGCAGCAATGTTATCTGATAGGACCTGGGAGACAAGCCATTTCTGATGCAATGCCTGCCTTTTCAAACAATTTCCTCCCTAAGACTTGGACAGCCCTGACCCTATTAACCTTCAGGAAAGCTTTACAAAATCTACTTTTCCCAGGGTATTGGCCCAGGATAATAAATGAGCCCAACTTCTGAGAAATGGAAGGTATGATTGGTGATCCCCATCTCTATGTGGTTGTTATGTTGGCTTATATGTTTTATTTTGTGTTATAGTTTTTATTTGTAATATTCTTGGGGGGAGGGCTTTGTTTCATGCATGCTGCCCAGAGTCATGATTATGTGAGTTGCACAGCTATATACGTTTTCTAAGTAAATGAAAGGTCACAAAGAATACACGCTTTAAAATAAAAATGCATACTACATGTTGCTTTGCTCTTTCTAAAAGTGGCTTTTCACACTTACTGTAGCTTCTACCAAATATCAAAAATGACTGATATATTTCTCCAGACATTGATGAACTACACGAGCAGATCCCTTTAGGACTTATCAATGTATTTATATTTAAGGAAAAATAATGATTATAATTTTAAAAAATGTATTCCAATGGTTCTTTTCATCCCCCATTACAAGAAGTCATGGATAGTCCTCATTTTAAAAAAATATTACTTAAGGTTTAAGAAAACTCTGGTGTAAAGCATAAGTTCATTCTTTTTTCAATGATCAGACCAAATTCTGGGTATATGATATCATTGTGTCTGCTTCAACACAGTAAACTGAATCCATCTTTTCATGTATGAATCCCTGCTGATTGAAATGCAAGAGGGAATTATTCCATTTACTGTGAGTGTGATTGCAGTGGAAATCAGAATTTCATTTCCTATATCTCTGGTTGCAGTTCTGTGAATAAACTGAGAACCATCGTTTTGCTTTTCTTTCCTATCAGATCCTATAGTTGACTTGCTCTACAGAATAAAATGAACAAGATGAAAACGTTCAAGCGCCGCTTTTCGCTTTCAGTTCCCAGGACAGAGACTATTGAGGAATCCCTGGCAGAATTTACAGAGCAGTTCAATCAGCTCAACAACAGGAAAAATGAAGGTAACAAGCTGAGGGCAACAGCATTGAAATGTTAAGTGGGTAATCTAGGGTGCCCAAAGCCATTTTAAAAACTAAACAGCTGAACTCCTCAGATTACAGAAATCCACCTCATGGGAGCAGGGCCTTGTTGTTAGCCACCAAAATCTATGAAGTGCAAGATGTTTCAAATTTAAAACATCTTGAGCTTGAAATAGTCATTTTGACTGTTCAGAAAATGTTGTTTCAGTGCTGGAAAGAAAGCATGCTGTTCTCAGGTAATTTCAAGTTGAATGTTGAAACAACCTTGAAGTGGTCTCAGCTCAACAACAAAACATCTGTATCTGAGAGTTTTGTTTTGAGTTGGAATCAAACATTTAGGCTGTTTTCAACTGACTGATTATTTCAAATAGGACTGTTTGTTCCAGTATGGAAACACGGGATGTTTCCTGTTTTGTGCACACCTCCCTATTCTGAGGAAGTGAACTAGGACACAATGGCTTGCTTGCTTATTTGAAGACACATTTCTGCACTATCTTGTGGCCCTACAAGACATTTCACAAAATGAAATACCATATAACTAATTTAAAAAGTAACAAAGTTAAGCAGAAAGTTAAAGATCAGTTTTTTTAAAAAAAACAAAAAGGGAGGTGTCATTATGGAATAATCTCTCCAGGTGGTTTCCTTTCATATGAGAAGATTCATTTAGCCTCTGGTGGATGTGCCTGGGAAGCATCTCAAATGTAAGATAAAGTTCAAGGTATAGCTGAGATCCTACAATAGGTCTCTCCCATTTTCTTTATATAAATTTATTTGTATAAAATCATGAGTTATATTTGAATGTGAGAGTAGAAGAAACACATTGTTCAAAGCTATTCAGTATCTACTTAATATTTTAATACTGGAAGAAGCAAACTGCAGTCAAGATCTAATATGACATGTTTTCTGGTTTATACATAATACATCTGATTGTGGAGAGGACAATTTTGTACCTTTTTCAAGTTTTGTGTTAAATATTTATTAATGGAATATATATGCTTGATTTTATTTACACATTTCAGTTTTGTAAACCTTTAAATTCATTCTTCCATTGAAATCCAAGCTTCCCATTAAGCATTGGTTGGGTGGGTGGGTGGGTGGGTGGATGATTGATTATGTGCCCTCAATTTAGTGTCAATTCTTAGTGTCCACCTAACTAGATTTCCTCCAGGAAGATTTATCCTCAACATTACTCTTTTGGATCTTTCAATCATACATCCCTTGCAACTATAATTGAGGCAATTCACTTTGCTATTCATTGTCCTTCTCTTTCTTTCCATATTTCCCAGCATGATAGACTTCTCCAGAAAATTAAGCTTTCATATAATATCTCCAAAGTATGATAATTTTAGCCTGGTCATTTGTGTGTTAAGTAAGAGCTCTGGATTAATTATTCAATAATTCTTTTTTTTTTTTGCTTTGTTAGCTGCATTCTGGTATCCACAGGAGAAAATTGCATTAAATGTTATTTCTCTGTTATTCACTTTTGTGCCAGCAGCACCTATTAATAAACTAAAAAGAAGGAATTATCAAACAAATAATTATCACTAAGCAATAATAATAACAACAACAACAATCAAAAGACTGGAACAACATACATTTTAAGAAGATACTTGATACATTTTTAAAAGTTCAGGTGACTGAGTTTCATGTTTAATGAATTTATATACACACACACACACACATATTGCAATGTTAAAGATTAATTCCTTCAGACTCTATACAAAAAAAGTAATACAAAATTGTTTCTCTGCTAGCCAGTTATTGCATGATAAGTTGCTTTTAATTTTATATTATTTTTATTCTAGTTTTGATATTTTGTAAGTTTCCCTTGGATTCTTTTGAAGAATAGGATATATATGTTTAAAACAGTTAAACAGTTACATGTTCCTATTTTTTTTCCTTCTCTGTATGAACTGATTGCTGTAGCAAAGTAAGGACTAGATATTTTTTTCAATTAATTACTCCTATTTATAACTAGACTTTAACCAATGTTATTAGTCTGAAAAATCATATCCGATCTAAACTTTGCTTTGGTTTACTTTATTCTACTCTTTCAGATATTCTCATTTGACTAAGATAATGTGCACAGGAAAAGCCTAGAACATACAAAAGGAAAATCAAATAATTTTCTGACTGGGCACAAGGAGTTCCAGGCAGTATCACCTTGGATTGGGCACAACCTGCTGGTGTAAAACTAGTGATGTGTTTTTTTCAGAATTGCCAACCATTTATGAAAGTGATGCCTTCAATTCTTCCTTTGACAGGGACCTTCTGCTGTCTTAATCCCATATGGAAAAGCTACTTGTCATCTGGCTCCTTGTGATTCACATTCAGTTAGAGAACTTTGAGATCCATAAAACAAAGCTTCATGACTTGTAACAGCAATAGATATGTAGATATTCTCTTCTCTATAAAATCTCAAAATCAACTTGGACAAGTTGTGAAGATGGTTTAGGCCTCTCTTTGTTTTTGTCCCTCCTCTCTGTTCTCTACAGATGAGCCATAAAGAATGATATTGCTGTCAGTTCAAATTTTCTCTTTGATAAAGTTATTGGAGTACAAGCAGTAATGTGTAGAAAATTGAATAGGCTATATTTAATTGATATTTTTATGTTGCTTGGTTTTTAGAATTGAGCAGAAATGTTAATGCTTAACCAAGTAATTAAGACTTTTGAATCAAGCAAAGGAAGGAGATTCTGGCCTAGTTCCCCAGGAGATCAAAGCTTGAGAGGCAGTGTTTGATAAAAACACTGATAAAAGAGGGAGGATCATCAAAGGCAGAGGAATGTTTGTGATTTCCCTTTTAATTTACTTCGATACCTTATGCACCCTCATTATATGCTGAGTCATAGGGCCTTCTGTGGTTCACATTAAAAGTGAAACGGGGTTAAGCAGGTCTCTGCAATGTTCTCCCAGCGGCTGCCTTCAAGTCCACTTAATCCTTTGGCCAAAACAGTTAAGATGTAAACACCTCCCAAGTTTGTTACATCAGCTATGCCTTTTAGGACAAGATAATGTTGTTTCTCTTATTCTCTCCTCTGTCCTTTCTTGTCTATTCACTTAGTCTTCCCTTGTCAACTGCCTCATTCACCAACTGTTTAAAGTGGAGCAAAAAAAAAAAAAAGACTGGTCTTCAAACTTGCGACTGTCGCAATGTCGTTATAGTCACATGATTGCCACTTGGGTGCTTTGCAACTGGCATGCATTTATGGCATTCACTGAGTCCCCTGGTCACATGACTGCCTTTTGCAAGCTTCACTACCAGGTTCTGGAAAAGCAGTCAATGGAGAATGGTGGAACTGTAAGTTGCAGTCATGTGATGTCTCACTTTTTCTCTCTCTTTTTAAAAAAATAATTTTATTCCAGTTTCCAGATGCAAAGATAAAATACTAATACAAACTAAGAAAAATATTTGAAAGTAAAGAAAAGTGCAAAGAGATAGAAAAAAATCCAGTCATTAAATAAGGGTATCTGTACTACCTCATAAGACAGCTAGAGGGTAAACTCTACTGTTATTGTTTTATTTTCATATTGTTTTCTCTTAATTTGTAATCTCTTAATTTGTTTTTTTTTTACTTTGACATCTACATTCTAATGTTTAATGACAATCTTCCAGATCAATTGCCTTAAAGCAGGAATGTCAAACTAGCGCCCCTGCAAGTCAGATGCATCATGCGCAGGCCACACCCATCCCAGCTCCACAAAGGGAAAAAGTGTTGCGATACATCACATGATGGCAACATGATGCAATGAGTTTGACACCCGTGTCTTATAGGCTTTGACCATATACTATATGTATATTCAGATTTTGTTCTGTGTCTGTTAAATACATTCCTGAGACATACATTATATTCAGAAACCTAAATCAACAGGATTTTTTCCCTTTGTTTTTTGCATACTAGTAGAAACTCTGTGCCACACATCTGATGCTGGTATTAAATCTTTTCACTGCTCTGCCTGCCAGTCATACATCCATGGAATCTAGAAATTTACCAGTTTAGATTATGGCTAAAATGGTCTCCCCTGCATTCTAAATGCAGATTATATATTTTTGGTATGTTGTTCTCACATTGAACATTTCGGGAACGGTTTTGCTTCTTCAAATGGATGAAGGCAAACCAACATTTGAGAGCTAACAAGCTACTTTTAAGCTGGTTTACAGATTTTTAGTCCCAAGAGATGAGTTAATCAAGGCAGACTATTGTTTTAAGCTGTTGCAATAGTTGCAGATTTATCAGAATTTGGACAACTCTTCAAGTAGATTGGAAGTCGTGCTTGCCATGGGAGTAACTCTCAGCTGGCGGAATTGTAAGTCGCAAGCCAAGCCTAGGAGGGGAGCATGTTTTAGACAAATTAAACATTGTATTTTTGTTTGCTCAAAAGTCCACATGCTGATATTTGGCCTTTTCATACTATACCTTACATTTCTGTGATAAATAAAGCAGGCAGAGCCAGAGGCAGCTGTAGGAATTGGGAGTGGGGGAGGGGATGGAGAAAGAGAAACTTTTTTTGTAGCTGTGTTCAAATGTGTGTTTGGAGGAGGGTTGATCCTGCAGTTTTTCCCTTGTAGAATTACTTAGAAATATAGTAAGTAGAAATACTTCCATTTGGAAAACTAGTACAAGTAGTGCAGATTTTTGTCACTTATGACATTTCTTGGGACTATTTTAACGCAAATATGTATTCCAGAAAAATCTTTTTTTTTTCTTTAGGAACTATTGCTATGATGCTTTTTCACAACATGAAACAAATAGGATTTTCCCACAAGAATTCATTTCAGCTCTTGAGCTCATTTCTGCTTAGCTGAGCCAAATATTTATTTCATAGAATATAAATCAATGGCCTTCCTGCTTCAGGACATCATGAGCATCCATCCCAGTTCATGCTGATTGCAGCATTTCCATTCTGCATTTACTGTTTCAGGAGTTTGCCCGATACAGGTAGTCCTCACTTAATCATGGTGATAGGGACTGGAATTTCCA